GAGGTGCTAGTGGGGGGAGGGGATTTGTGATAGTGGGGGGAGGGGATTTGTGATAGGAGGTGGTAGTGGGGGGAGGGGATTTGTGATAGGAGGTGGTAGTGGGGGGAGGGGATTTGTGCTAGGAGGTGGTAGTGGGGGGAGGGGATTTGTGATAGGAGGTGGTAGTGGGGGGAGGGGATTTGTGATAGGAGGTGGTAGTGGGGGGAGGGGATTTGTGCTAGGAGGTGGTAGTGGGGGGAGGGGATTTGTGATAGGAGGTGGTAGTGGGGGGAGGGGATTTGTGATAGGGTGGAACATTTGAGGGAGAAGAGGATGTGATTTGGGGGAGGATGAAGTAGGAATTTAGGTGCGTAGCTGCGAGGAATAATCGGCAGTTGTGTGCAGTTTCTGGTGTGAATGGGACTGCATGTGAGCATTTCAGGTGGCAGTTGAGGGCGGGGCCTGATGGGAACATACAATGTATTTGTACTGCGCTGCGTATGCTGTCGGCGCTATAGAAGCCCCTGGAATAAATAATAGAGCCGTGAGATAACATTCGGGGCCCATTCACACGACTGCGTTGCCGAATGTGCGTTCCATGCATGGATGCAGCGGCAGTCCTGAACCCCACCACACCTCACTGACATGGATGCAGCGGCAGTCCTGAACCCCACCACACCTCACTGACATGGATGCAGCGGCAGTCCTGAACCCCACCACACCTCACTGACATGGATGCAGCGGCAGTCCTGAACCCCACCACACCTCACTGACATGATGCAGCGGCAGTCCTGAACCCCACCACACCTCACTGACATGATGCAGCACACTAGCCTGCGGCGGTGCCAGGATTCCTACATGCGCCATTGTCGCTTCATTCGTTTTGGCGGGAGGACATCAGAGCGTCTTTCTTGTCCCTCTAATTGCGCAGAAACTGGCCATCCTGCACAGTGCAGCTTACAACAACCTCGCGTTTCCTCCGCACTGAGCAGCCAATGGCAGCATCTCCAGGACGGCGTTCATTCGATGTCCCTATTATGGGGGGGCCGCAGATCGCCCTCACTGTATACGGAGCCGTATTTACTCCCCATGGGGGGGTGCAGATCGCCCTCACTGTATACGGAGCCGTATTTACTCCCCATGGGGGGAAGCAATCGCTCTCACTCTGTACGGAGCCGTATTTACTCCCCATGGGGGGCCACAGATCGCCCTCACTGTATACGGAGCCGTATTTACTCCCCATGGGGGGGAAAACGATCGCCCTCACTGTATACGGAGCCGTATTTACTCCCCATGGAGGGCCACAGATCGCCCTCACTGTATACGGAGCCGTATTTACTCCCCATGGGGGGCCACAGATCGCCCTCACTGTATACGGAGCCGTATTTACTCCCCATGGAGGGCCACAGATCGCCCTCACTGTATACGGAGCCGTATTTACTCCCCATGGGGGGCCACAGATCGCCCTCACTGTATACGGAGCCGTATTTACTCCCCATGGAGGGCCACAGATCGCCCTCACTGTATACGGAGCCGTATTTACTCCCCATGGGGGGCCACAGATCGCCCTCACTGTATACGGAGCCGTATTTACTCCCCATGGGGGGCCACAGATTGCCCTCACTGTATACGGAGCCGTATTTACTCCCCATGGAGGGCCACAGATTGCCCTCACTGTATACGGAGCCGTATTTACTCCCCATGGGGGGCCACAGATCGCCCTCGCTGTATACGGAGCCGTATTTACTCCCCATGGGGGGCCACAGATCGCCCTCACTGTATACGGAGCCGTATTTACTCCCCATGGGGGGCCACAGATCGCCCTCGCTGTATACGGAGCCGTATTTACTCCCCATGGAGGGCCACAGATCGCCCTCGCTGTATACGGAGCCGTATTTACTCCCCATGGGGGGCCACAGATCGCCCTCGCTGTATACGGAGCCGTATTTACTCCCCGTGGAGGGGCCACAGATCGCCCGTCATGCCACGAATCGTCCCCGCAGTACAATGCAGCAATCTGACGAACGTGTCGGGATTGTCCCGTCAATATCGCTGGAAAGTCGCAGATATCTGGGGATGGCGATCGATGATCCTGGGGCGCCGTGTAGCCACTCAGAGGAAGAGTCGCTGATTGGTGGAAGGGCGCCACATGATCACCAGAGGAGATTCTCCGCACTCTGCTTCCTCCTCCACCCAGCAATGCTGGAAATTGAGCGACTTTGAACTGTCAGCTCTGCAATCAGCCGACTGGAGCTGGGTCGCCTGCAGTACCCCCTCAGGGCCATGCGGTGGCAGCACCACCCCCTCCAATCAGAGGCCACCAACAAGAGCTCTTTAAATCCCGGACCTTGAACCCAGAACATCTGTTTCCAGGAGGCCGAGGTTCATCCTTGGCGTAACTTTCCCTCTGATATCAAACGACGCATTCCGCGGCTTCCATACTGATCAGGAGGTTAGGAATGGCTGGAATCCTCCAGGGGGCGACTGCGGCCATTCCCCTTCCCTGCAGTCTGTGATGCGTCTGGCGGTGGATTGTGGAGAATAATAATGTGCGCTCAGATATTTACCTTTCCAATAAAACACTTTTGTCCTCCTTTGTAGGCCCCATCAGACGCTTATGTGACAGGGTGACAACACGTAGCATAATTGGGAGGCCGGGCCAGAGAGTTGTCACTCTATAACAGGAAGTACTTGAACAGCTGCTTGGAGCCTTCATCAGAAACATATGTGGCAGGTGACAACACGGGAGCATAACTGGGAGAATAAGTCAGAGAGCTGTCACTCTAGAACAGGAAGTACTTGGGGCCTTCATCGAAATCTTATAGGGTGACAACACGGGAGCATAATTGGGAGAATGTGTCTGAGCATTGTCACACTAAAACAGGAAGTACTTGGAGCCTTCATCAGAAGTTTATGTGTTATGGTGACAACACGTAGCATAACTGAGAGAACTGGCCAGAGGGTTGTCACTCTCTACCAGGAAGTAGTTGAACAGCTGCTTGTAGCCTTCATCAGAAGTTTATATGATAGGGTGACAACACGGGAACATAACTGGGAGAATGTGTCTGAGCGTTGTCACACTAAAACAGGAAGTACTTGATGAGTCACTCTTAGGTTCTATCAAAAGCTTATGTGGTAGGGTGACAACATGTAGCATAACTGGGAGAATAAGTCAGAAGGTTGTCACTCTATAACAGGAAGTACTTGTAACCTTCATCTGAATCTTTTATGATAAGGCGACAACATGGGAGCATAACTGGGAGACTGGAGCAGAGGGTTGTCAATCTAAAACAGGAAGTGCTTGATTGGCCAATCCTAGGTTCTATCAAAAAGCTTATGTGCTAGGGTGACAACAGGGAGCATAACAGGGAACATAAGTCAGAGAGTTGTCACTCTATAACAGGAAGTGCTTGAATGGGCATTTGTAACCTTCCTAGGAAACTTATGTGACAGGGTGACAACATGTAGCATAACTGGGAGTTCGGGCCAGAGGGTTGTCACTCTATAAGGAAGTACCTGAACAGCTGCTTGTAGCCTTCATCAGAATCTTATATGATAGGGTGACAACACAGGAGTATAACTGGGAGAATGTGTCCGAGCGTTGTCACACTAAAACAGGAAGTGCTTGAATGGGCACTTGTAGCCTTCATCAGAAGATTATGTAGTAAGGTGACAACACGTAGCATAACTGAGAGACTGGGCCAGAGGGTTGTCACTCTCAAACAGGAAGTGCTTGAATGGGCATTTGTAGCCTTCATTACAGGCTTGTGGTAGGGTGACAACACAGGAGCATAACTGAGAGAATACGTCAGAGCGTTGTCACTCTGCAACAGGAAGTGCTCGGTGTGTCACTTGTAGGCTTTACCTGAAGCTCATCTGACAGGGTGACAACATGTAACAAACTGGGAGACTGGGTCAGAGCGTTGTCACTCTACAACAGGAAGTGCATGAGCAGGAAACCTAATGGCAGGATCACCAGTTGTGACATCAGAAGTTCGCACAACACGAGGAGCCAATCAGCGATCGGCGAGAAATTGCTACAAAACGTTACAACTGGTAACAAGCGATCTGTGATGTCGCTGATCTCTCCTGGCCCCTCCCACTGTTTGGCGCACAAATGCGCTTCTTCTACGCCATCTTGTGACGCACAAATTATTTCTGTGAAATTCTTGGCGCATTTCCCATCATTCGCCGCGCCGGTGGATACGACGCAGTCCGCGCCCCTCCCCCCCCCACGGCGGTCACCGGTTTTCACTTCCTCCTCACTTTCGGGACCTTTACCCAGAATATGAGAAAAAACAAAAAAAAAAGAACTCTTTGTGGAGGCGGGGCCTCGGTGTGTAGCCCCTCCCTCTCACCTCTGAAGACTCTCCTTTTATGGCTCACTCTTCGCAGACACTCATGCTGGGGACTTCCCCTCCCCCAACACACAGCAAGTCATAGGCAGGAAATTGCAGGGCAAGATGGCTGCATGAGTCAGGCGGGAGAAGTACGGAGAGCCAGCAATATTACTCAGCCGGCCTCGCCGACCCCTCCGACGTTTCCCATTGGTCAGTTTGTAGACATTTCGGACATCGCTGAGCAGACAAAGTTTTTTTTGTTTTATTGAGGAATTGGAAGGAATTTGCTGCTTCAGTGTTTCATCGGCTTGTTTTGCCTCCCATTCTGTTCTCATCACATCCCTTATATTAGTAGTAGTGATGTCATCACTGGGTCTCTGTGCTTCTCTATGCAATGCAGGCAGATCATGGCTGGTGGAAGGGGCCAGCGGGGGGGCTGTACATAGCTTCCTGAAAACGTCAAAAGCCCCCTGACTCAGCACTCCTCTCAGGGGCCCTCAGTCCTGATGCAACCAGTGGGAGGAGTTATGCAAATATCAAAATGCCTTGATGGGTGGGTGTCAGTCTGAAGGAGTGGGCGTTCCTAGGCAGGTTCTATTTGCATGTAGGTAACACCCACATCGGAGCCTCCATGATTGAATGAACTGAAATCCAAAAAATGAAAGGGGCGGGGCCAGGGGCAGTCGGGCTGGGGAGGAAGGAGCTACATGATGCTGGACGTCATCCAAACAGGAAATGAGGCGGAGCTCTATCTGACTGGCTGCAGCTTCTAATGCACATTGTGAGGAGCTCCCAGTGTGCAGTGACATCAGAGGAAGCCAGTCCAGGGGAGGAGCCGGTACACCTCTGCAAGACTGAAGGGGAGGAGCCGGTACACCTCTGCAAGATTGGAGGGGAGGAGCCGGTACACCTGTGCAAGACTGAAGGGGAGGAGCAGGTACACCTGTGCAAGACTGAAGGGGAGGAGCCGGTACACCTGTGCAAGACTGAAGGGGAGGAGCCGCTACACCTGTGCAAGACTGGAGGGGAGGAGCCGGTACACCTGTGCAAGACTGAAGGGGAGGAGCCAGTACACCTGTGCTAGACAGAAGGGGAGGAGCCGGTACACCTGTGCGAGACTGGAGGGGAGGAGCCGCTACACCTGTGCAAGACTTAAGGGGAGGAGCCGGTACACCTGTGCGAGACTGGAGGGGAGGAGCCGCTACACCTGTGCAAGACTTAAGGGGAGGAGCCACTACACCTGTGCAAGACTGGAGGGGAGGAGCCGGTACACCTGTGCTAGACAGAAGGGGAGGAGCCGCTACACCTGTGCAAGACTTAAGGGGAGGAGCCGCTACACCTGTGCAAGACTGGAGGGGAGGAGCCGGTACACCTGTGCTAGACAGAATGGGAGGAGCCGGTACACCTGTGCAAGACTGAAGGGGAGGAGCTGGTACACCTGTGCTAGACAGAAGGGGAGGAGCCGGTACACCTGTGCGAGACTGGAGGGGAGGAGCCGGTACACCTGTACGAGACTGGAGGGGAGGAGCCGGTACACCTGTGCGAGACTGAAGGGGAGGAGCCGGTACACCTGTGCGAGACTGAAGGGGAGGAGCCGGTACACCTGTGCAACACTGGAGGGGAGGAGCCGGTAAACCTGTGCAAGACTGAAGGGGAGGAGCCGGTACACCTGTGCGAGACTGAAGGGGAGGGACCGGTACACCTGTGCGAGACAGAAGGGGAGGAGCCGGTACACCTGTGCGAGACTGAAGGGGAGGGGCCGGTACACCTGTGCGAGACAAGGGGAGGAGCCGGTACACCTGTGCGAGACTGAAGGGGAGGAGCCTGTACACCTGTGCAAGACTGAAGGGGAGGAGCCGGTACACCTGTGCAAGACTGAAGGGGAGGAGCCGGTACACCTGTGCAAGACTGAAGGGGAGGAGTCTGTACACCTGTGCAAGACGGAAGGGGAGGAGCCGGTACACCTGTGCAAGATGGAAGGGGAGGAGTCGGTTCACCTGTGCAAGACTGAAGGGGAGGAGCTGGTACACCTGTGCGAGACTGGAGGGGCAAGACTGAAGGTGTCCATCCAGTCCTCAGATTTGCACAGCTCAGCCAATCCAGTGTCCTAACTTTTCTCTGTTGCTGTCAAGTATTGAAGCTGGGTCACTTCCCCGCCCCCAGCCTATGATTGGACGGTAATGGAGCAGCAGCAGTTCCCCCTCTCATCTCGCTGCTCTCTCCTGTCGGCGTAATCCTTACCTGCACATGTGACAAGTCTGATTGGCTCCTAGTGCTGACTCCTCCCTCCTTATATTTGCTGTAGGAGAGGAGAACAAGAAGCTGATATGAAGACAGATCTGGGTGCCTATGTTAGCTGCGGACTGACAACTCATGGGGCCCCCGGGCAATAGGGGATCATGGGGCCCCTGTGTCCTCGCCCAAACTCAAAAAAGTCTATGAAAAAGGTACCAGGGGCATCTCATGGGGCCCCCTACTGACCCCGGGCCCTCGGTCAGTGCTCGAGTTTCCACATGGTCAGTCCGCCCCTGGCTGCACATGATATACAGTTGGAAGAAAAAGTATGTGAACCCCTTGGGATTACGTGGAGTTTTGCATGAATTGGGCATAAAATGTGCTCTGAACGTCATCTAAATCACAACAATAGAAGAACACAGTCTGCTGAACATAATACTACACAAACATTAGATGTTGCCATGGTTTAATTGCACATAACATGTAAACATTCACAGTGCAGGGAGGAAAAAGTATGTGAGGCCCTAGCTTAATGACTTGTCCCAGAGCTAATTGGAGCCAGGAGTGAGCCAACCTTGACTCCAATCAGTGTGATGATATTGGATGTGTTGCTGACACCTGTTTTGGGTTTACTGGTTTCAAGAAGCACTGTCTGATGTGAACCATGCCTCGCAGAAAAGAGCTCTCAGAAGACCTACCATCAAGAATTGTTGACTTGCATGAAGCTGGAAAGGGTTACAAAAGTATCTCCTTGAGCCTTGATGTTCCTGTGTCCACGGTAAGACAGACTGTCTACAAATGGAGAAAGTTTAGCACTGTTGCTACTCTCCCTAGGCGTGGTCGTCCTGTAAAAATGACTGCAAGAGCCCAGCGCAGAATGCTGCATGAGGTGAAGAAGAATCCCAGAGTGTCAGCTAAAGACCTACAGAAATCTCTGGCACATGCTAACATTTTTGTTGACACATCTACAATCAGGAAAACATGAAACAAGAATGGAGTACATGGGAGGACACCACGGAGGAAGCCATTGCTGTCCAAAAAGAAGATTGCAGCACGTTTGAAGTTTGGAAAAGAGCCCCTGGATGTTCCACAGCACTACTGGCAGAATATACTGTGGACAGATGAAACCAAGATTGAGTTGTTTGGGAAGAACACACAACACTATGTGTGGAGAAAAAAAGGCACAGCACACCAACATCAAAACCTCATCCCCACTGTGAAACATGGCGGAGGGAGCATCATGGTTTGGGGCTGCTTTGCTGCCTCAGGGCTGGAGGGATTGTTGTCATTGATGGGAAAATGAATTCCAGAGTTTATCAAGACATTTTGCAGGAAAACGTACGACCATCTGTCCGCCAACTGAAGCTCCGCAGAGGATGGGTGATGCAACAGGACAATGATGACCCAAAGCATACAAGTCATTCAACAAAACAATGGCTGCAACAGCACAGAATACGCCTTCTGGAGTGGCCCAGTCAGAGTCCTGACCTCAACCCCATTGAAATGCTGTGGCATGACCTTAAGAGAGCGATTCACACCAGACATCCCAAGAATATTGCTACACTGAAACAGTTTTGTGAAGAGGAGTGGTCCAAAATGACTCCAGATCGTTGTGCAGGTCTGATCTGCAACTACAGGAAACGTTTGGTTGAGGTTATTGCTGCCAAAGGAGGGTCAACCAGTTATTAAGTCCAAAGGTTCACATACTTTTTCCTCCCTGCACTGTGAATGTTTACATGTTATGTGCAATGAAACCATGGCAACATCTAATGTTTGTGTAGTATTATGTTCAGCAGACTGTGTTCTTCTATTGTTGTGACTTAGATGACGTTCAGAGCACATTTTATGCCCAATTCATGCAAAACTCCACGTAATCCCAAGGGGTTCACATACTTTTTCTTGCAACTGTACATTGAATTCTATTGTACTGAACATGGAGCTGCGGGAGTCATGTGATCCCCCATAGCGTGTCCTCTGCTACCTGACCTGTCCGAAAACTGGGAGTCCCGGGGAATCCCTACAGATGATGCCCCCCCCCCATCCCATATCTCACAGCTGTGTCCCCGACTCATTCTTCTCATATCCTTTACAGCAGGGCTCAGGTTTCCTGGCACTGCCTAATGAAGACCTCGGCTTGCCAGCTGTTGTGGGAGCACAATCCACCACAAGGATTGCTGGGACTTGTAGTTCCATATAGGTGGGACTGCAGTGATGGGAAATTTCCTGAATTTTTTCCAACAAATTTTGAAGGGAAACAGATATCAGATTTGGGTGGACTGACACTCTAAATGAAGGTTTATGCTTTCATGTAAATCCTGGTACCTGTGTAGTTCTTGGCTGTGTTCACAAATGTCTGACACAGATCAGCCCCTGCTGCAGCCTCTCACCCTGTGACATGTTGCAAAGTTACTGTCCGGTCTGGGGAAAACTAGATGTCTATAGGATCATATCGGTGTCTGTAGGGTTGGGTTGTCTTTGTCCAGTGTGGGGTAATATTGGTGTCTGTAGGGTCGGGTGGTCCTTGCCCCGCGTGGGGTAATATTGGTGTCTGTAGGGTCGGGTGGTCCTTGCCCAGTGTGGGGTAATATTGGTGTCTGTAGGGTCGGGTGGTCCTTGTCCAGTGTGGGGTAATATTGGTGTCTGTAGGGTCGGGTGGTCCTTGTCCAGTGTGGGGTAATATTGGTGTCTGTAGGGTCGGGTGGCCCTCCCCAGTGTGGGGTAATATCGGTGTCTGTAGGGTCGGGTGGTCCTTGCCCAGTGTGGGGTAATATCGGTGTCTGTAGGGTCGGGTGGTCCTTGCCCAGTGTGGGGTAATATCGGTGTCTGTAGGGTCGGGTAGTCCTTGCCCAGGGTGGGGTAATATCGGTGTCTGTAGGGTCGGGTGGCCCTCCCCAGTGTGGGGTAATATCGGTGTCTGTAGGGTCGGGTGGTCCTTGCCCAGTGTGGGGTAATATCGGTGTCTGTAGGGTCGGGTGGTCCTTGTCCAGTGTGGGGTAATATCGGTGTCTGTAGGGTCGGGTGGCCCTCCCCAGTGTGGGGTAATATGGGTGTCTGTAGGGTCGGGTGGCCCTCCCCAGTGTGGGGTAATATCGGTGTCTGTAGGGTCGGGTGGCCCTCCCCAGTGTGGGGTAATATTGGTGTCTGTAGGGTCGGGTGGCCCTCCCCAGTGTGGGGTAATATTGGTGTCTGTAGGGTCGGGTGGTCCTTGCCCAGTGTGGGGTAATATCGGTGTCTGTAGGGTCGGGTGGCCCTCCCCAGTGTGGGGTAATATTGGTGTCTGTAGGGTCGGGTGGCCCTCCCCAGTGTGGGGTAATATCGGTGTCTGTAGGGTCGGGTGGTCCTTGCCCAGTGTGGGGTAATATCGGTGTCTGTAGGGTCGGGTGGTCCTCCCCAGGGTGGGGTAATATCGGTGTCTGTAGGGTCGGGTGGTCCTCCCCAGTGTGGGGTAATATCGGTGTCTGTAGGGTCGGGTGGTCCTTGCCCAGTGTGGGGTAATATCGGTGTCTGTAGGGTCGGGTGGTCCTTGCCCAGTGTGGGGTAATATCGGTGTCTGTAGGGTCGGGTGGCCCTCCCCAGTGTGGGGTAATATCGGTGTCTGTAGGGTCGGGTGGCCCTCCCCAGGGTGGGGTAATATCGATGTCTGTAGGGTCGGGTGGCCCTCCCCAGTGTGGGGTAATATCGGTGTCTGTAGGGTCGGGTGGCCCTCCCAGTGTGGGGTAATATCGGTGTCTGTAGGGTCGGGTGGTCCTTGCCCAGTGTGGGGTAATATCGGTGTCTGTAGGGTCGGGTGGTCCTCCCCAGGGTGGGGTAATATCGGTGTCTGTAGGGTCGGGTGGTCCTCCCCAGTGTGGGGTAATATCGGTGTCTGTAGGGTCGGGTGGTCCTTGCCCAGTGTGGGGTAATATCGGTGTCTGTAGGGTCGGGTGGTCCTTGCCCAGTGTGGGGTAATATCGGTGTCTGTAGGGTCGGGTGGCCCTCCCCAGTGTGGGGTAATATCGGTGTCTGTAGGGTCGGGTGGCCCTCCCCAGGGTGGGGTAATATCGATGTCTGTAGGGTCGGGTGGCCCTCCCCAGTGTGGGGTAATATCGGTGTCTGTAGGGTCGGGTGGCCCTCCCCAGTGTGGGGTAATATCGGTGTCTGTAGGGTCGGGTGGCCCTCCCCAGTGTGGGGTAATATTGGTGTCTGTAGGGTCGGGTGGCCCTCCCCAGTGTGGGGTAATATGGGTGTCTGTAGGGTCGGGTGGCCCTCCCCAGTGTGGGGTAATATCGGTGTCTGTAGGGTCGGGTGGTCCTTGCCCAGTGTGGGGTAATATCGGTGTCTGTAGGGTCGGGTGGCCCTCCCCAGTGTGGGGTAATATCGGTGTCTGTAGTAGGGTCGGGTGGCCCTCCCCAGTGTGGGGTAATATCGGTGTCTGTAGGGTCGGGTGGCCCTCCCCAGTGTGGGGTAATATCGGTGTCTGTAGGGTCGGGTGGCCCTCCCCAGGGTGGGGTAATATCGGTGTCTGTAGGGTCGGGTGGCCCTCCCCAGTGTGGGGTAATATGGGTGTCTGTAGGGTCGGGTGGTCCTTGCCCAGTGTGGGGTAATATCGGTGTCTGTAGGGTCGGGTGGTCCTTGCCCAGTGTGGGGTAATATCGGTGTCTGTAGGGTCGGGTGGCCCTCCCCAGTGTGGGGTAATATGGGTGTCTGTAGGGTCGGGTGGCCCTCCCCAGGGTGGGGTAATATCGGTGTCTGTAGGGTCGGGTGGCCCTCCCCAGGGTGGGGTAATATCGGTGTCTGTAGGGTCGGGTGGTCCTTGTCCAGTGTGGGGTAATATCGGTGTCTGTAGTGTCGGGTGGCCCTCCCCAGTGTGGGGTAATATCGGTGTCTGTAGGGTCGGGTGGTCCTTGTCCAGTGTGGGGTAATATCGGTGTCTGTAGGGTCGGGTGGCCCTCCCCAGGGTGGGGTAATATTGGTGTCTGTAGGGTCGGGTGGCCCTCCCCAGTGTGGGGTAATATCGGTGTCTGTAGGGTCGGGTGGCCCTCCCCAGTGTGGGGTAATATCGGTGTCTGTAGGGTCGGGTGGCCCTCCCCCAGTGTGGGGTAATATCGGTGTCTGTAGGGTCGGGTGGCCCTCCCCAGTGTGGGGTAATATCGGTGTCTGTAGGGTCGGGTGGCCCTCCCCAGTGTGGGGTAATATGGGTGTCTGTAGTGTCGGGTGGCCCTCCCCAGGGTGGGGTAATATCGGTGTCTGTAGGGTCGGGTGGCCCTCCCCAGTGTGGGGTAATATCGGTGTCTGTAGGGTC